ATCCCACATATATATATATATATATATATATATATATATATATATATATATATATATATATATATATATTCAGAAAATGCAAATATTAAGTAATGGAGTATCAATTATCACTCCTTTTATTGTTCAAGTGTTTGAAATGCATGAGTTTTGCTGGTTTGCAGGTGGCGGCTAGAGCTGGTGTGTATACCATCCTCAACCATCTGGGCTTTTCTGAGTTTGAAAACTCTGACGACTCTCCGATGGCAAGGTTCCGTTTCCGCTGGCTCCCACACAGTGTCCAGTTTATTCCCATGCGAGGGCAACTTATTTAGAAAGGCACAGTATGTCGAACTAAATACTGACTCACATTTCATAAATATTTTTTTATTACAATTTCTGTCAGACTCATTAAATCAAGTGATTTAATGCATCATGTTATCTTATTTACATTTTTGACTCTATCTTTAGCTCGGCAGTGTTATGTTTTGTCCTCGTAAAATATAAGACAACAAACACAGAAAATTGTTAACCTAATAAACCACACATTCATGCTAATGAAAGTTTTAATGCTGACCTTTAAAAGGTACATTTGCACACTGTTATAAAAATGTCACCTCATTTGTATATAAAACATTTAATTAATTGAGATTTTACTTAATGTGACGGTCTTCCTGGATGATAATTTGCATTCATGTACATGTAAATGTTTGTTATTAAATTACTCTTTTTATACATATTTTTTGAACAATTTGCTTCAAGTCATTACAAAAAACTGTTTAGTTGTGTTATTTGTTCAGTAGAGTTTAAGTACAGTAGACATTTAATAATTCCATTCAGTTAATTGAACTAATAGGAATTGCTCAGCTTGAATGTTTTGAATAGCCTTAAGTTTTAGACTGAGCAAACGGATGTCATTGACGTCATTTCTATCCTTCTTGTCCTTCAGACTTGAATTGTATACATAGAAACCTGCTGTTCCTCCAAAAATATGTCAGGTTTAAAATTAGTTTTACACTTTCCGATTTCTGATAGGTTCTAAATTTGCAATAATCACTGCCTGACTGTATTATCTGGATGAGATTGACCCATCAGAATCAAGTATGCAAAAAAATAAATAATTGTAGTTCATTAAAGAAATACCCAATTAGAATGCAAGACTGTGTAATGTTTAAACCTGAATGGAAACAAGTGACATTAATTTGGATTACATTTTTGTCTTCATCCTCATTTATAGATTTTCCCTCATGTAAAAGGCGTAGGTGTATAGGGAGAAACAACTACTGTATAATACCGTTATTACTGTATAATAACTAATACCATTTTAAAGGCACAGAATATGTCTTGTTTCTTTCCCCCTGTTTCCAGGCTCATGTCTCTGATCTGTCTGTGTGTAGAGGACTGTGGGCAAGGTAAAATTAATTCTGCTTTGCACTCAAGAACAGTGAAGAGCCATGTGCTTTGGAGAAACTGTATGTCATACATACTGTATCTGTAGTGTCCTCCCAGCATTGTCTTGTTATTCGTAGCTCTGTCTCTTATCATGATTATAAACTACCCTGTAGCTTGTGTCAAGAGACCAGTGCTTCACTGTGGAGACTGAAAATTTTGTCTGTTTTATTCTCGGATTCTCTTATTTTCTCTGGACTCCGCTTTTTCCAATCCTCAGTTTTTAGAATGTCTTTTTATTTTGGCAGTTATTTGAAGTATTTTGAGATTTTTAATTTTTTTGCTGATATTCCATGAATTTGAGGGCACAAACACTTTCTCACCATCTCAGCTAAATCATATATCAGCCTTTTATATTTGGTTGTGAGGCAGTGACAGCTGTTGTGAAATGCATCCAGATAAATCCTGCGTATATGATAAAATACGTTCAACATCAGTTCCAAATCTACAAGCACCTTGGCACTTATAAGGTATAGAGCGATTGTGTCTGTATATCAGGAGGTAGGAAAAAAAACAAATTTTGATTGGCAATTCTTGTCATAATAGTCAAAACAACTCTAACAACTAAAAAACAAAGTCCATCTCGTTCTCACTCGCATATGTTCAGAACTGTTTTGGACTGTTTTCTCTCATAAACGGTGGTTGATCTGTGCATATTTCTCTCCTGATTCAAACAAGGTGACTTTTTTACTGGAAGCAATATTATATGACTTGAGGAAGCAATGGATTGAAGTTAAAAATGTCTTAATGATGGATGTGTTTATTACAAACATGCAGAGTTTTGCGTCACAAAACATTCATTGATGAAGTGGAGTTGTCAATTACTTTTGGATTATTGTGATGTTTTTATCAGCTGTTTGAACTCTCATTCTGATGGCACACATTCACTGCAGAGGATCCACTGGTGAGCGATGTAATGCGAAATTTATCCATTTTATTTTCCAGTGAAGAAACAAACTTGTCTACATTGGATGGCCTGAACCCTTTTTGGGTGAACTAGTCCTTGAAAACTATTGTTAGTAGTTTTTCAATTTTTCCTTCATGCCACAGTCTAAGTACAACTATCCATACATTCCAATGACCTGTGTACTTTCAGTTTTCATATAATTTCAGGGCACAATATACAGATGCATCTCAATAAATTAGAATGTTGTGGAAAAGTTCATTTATTTCAGTAATTCAACTCAAATTGTGAATTATATTGTGATGATTTTGGCTCACATTTACCAAAAACCCACCAATTCACTATCTCAACAAATTAGAATACTTCATAAGACCAATAAAAAAAAACATTTTTAGTGAATTGTTGGCCTTCTGGAAAGTATGTTAATTTACTGTACATGTACTCAATAATTGGTAGGGGCTCCTTTTGCTTTAATTACTGTCTCAATTCGGCGTGGCATGGAGGTGATCAGTTTGTGGCACTGCTGAGGTGGTATGGAAGCCCAGGTTTCTTTGACAGTGGCCTTCAGCTCATCTGGATTTTTTGGTCTCTTGTGTTTCTCATTTTCCTCTTGATAATACCCCATAGATTCTCTATGGGGTTCAGGTCTGGTGAGTTTGCTGGCCAGTCAAGCACACCAACAC